CTAAGCCCGAGGGCTTGCATCTAAACGGCTTAACCATTTATAGCTAGCCGTTAACGTCTGTGGTGGAATAGCAGACTCGAATATACTCCTCATCCACACGCGCGCAGCAAAACACGCCACCCACATCACACACACACACAACAACACACACACACACACCACACACACACACACACATCACACAACACGCCGTCGCGCGCGCGCGCGCCGCGCGCGCGCAGCACACACACAACACATACACCAGCCACTCCAAATTTACAATTAGCTCATGTAATAAAGCTAGGAAATTCCTAGCAATGATGCTGGCGTACGCATGAACGACCACGCCCCACATGGAGCGGCGATGGTTGGTGTGGCTGACTTCAGACCTTGCACACGAAAGAAATCTGAAGCGAGGAGTCTCGACATAGATCGGATAGAACTACTGCATCCTTAGATGTAGGTCGTCCTTATACGGCTGTTCCCGTTAGATTACGTCTTTAGATATCGCCTCCTGTTAACACCGCTTCTGCGAACACACAACACAACACACACGTAACACCCACCACTACACATACTACACAACACATGGCCACACACGCACACTCACACACCACACACACACCACACAGGCACACTACACAGCAACACACACACACACACACACTGCGGCGCACGCACATGATGGCACATGCACACAAACTCAAACAAAGCACACTGCGTATGGCTCAAACCTATACAACAGTGTTCTTACGCACCGGGCACCGCGACAGTAGATCTGGGGCGACACACTAATTTACAAGGGACCGCATGCGGTCACTGCTGTCCCCATGCCACGGAATCTGTATGGCAAACTAAGTCTCAGCAACGCGAGGGTCGCCTGTGAGTGTAGCCCACGGGGCACGCGAATTTGGGTCGTGATCAAGAAAGGATGCTGTGCCTACGGTCGTAGAAGAAGACAACTACTTCTGGTGTCGGCTACGCGAATAAGTCTTTCGTTGCCAAATTGTCTGCACAGCATGTTTCACACAGTAGAACGAAGTAGAAGAATATAGTCGCTATCCATCACTACTCATACGATCACGCCACGTCGATTGCACCGTCTGATTGCCACGTCTGATTGCATCGTCCTGATTGCACGTCTGATTGCCACTGCATTAGCATGTGCACGAGCGGTAAAACAAAGTCAAAAAAGCGACGCAAATCAACCAAAATTATTAGAAACTTCTCTCGATTTCCCCAATATTTTTAATTTCGAAATTTGGTCTCAATATTTATATCTGTAAGAATTCACACGCACGCGCGTCGCTCGTTACAAGACGCGCCGGTGTCCAAGCCGCGCAGCGCGGTCACCGCGCATGCGCACTCTGGTATTACAGTCTGCGAGCATGTCGTCCGCTCCCAGCCTCTGCAGCTCCGTCAGCGAACTCACATTCTATTATGCTTGGCTTTCGGCGACGATGAGATACCAGCATCAGTACCACAACATGGCAGACAGCAGCTTTCATCATCCTGGCGTTGCGTGCGTGCGTGCGCTGCGCGTGTGCGTGTGTACGCGTACATGAATATGAGTGTTTGAGCGGTGTGTGTGTGCGACGCGAGAGCGGTTATGGTACGCTTGTTGCTAACGTTAGGGTATGCACTCTACTGAAGTTCCACAGCCGCCGCGGCGCCTCGACTATTATGGCTCGCGCGCGAGAGGCTGGTGGCGGCACCGTGGTTCCGGTCGCGTGGCCTCGCCCGAAACAATCGTCATTATTCAGCGTCGTGACCATCGCGACCTCTGCCGCCGCCCTAAACATGTTCAAGGTGTACTGCTTCGTCGCGCGACGCCCTGATCCGCGGCGGACGCTGCGGCAGATGAAGGACGATTAGGGGGAGGCAGTGTACCCGCCGGCCGCCAGGGGCGGCTGCGGAATTACACTGAATAAGTTCTGCGAAAGTGTTGTTCTAGCCGCTGTTCGTGTTTACGATGGTGGCGTGTGTTGCGTGCGCGCGCGCGCGCGCGCGTGGTGTGTGTGTGTGTGTGTCGTGTTGTGTGTGTGTGTGTGTGTTTGTGTGTGTGTGTGTGTGTGTGGTGTGTTTGTGTGTATGTATGTGTGTGTTGTGTGTTTGTGTGTGTGCGTGCGTTTAGTGGTGTGTGTGTGCGGTTGTGTTGTGCGCGCGGCGCGTGCTGAGCTTGTGTGTATGTCCTGTGTTGTACGTGCGCGCGCGGCAGTGTATGTAGCGTGCGTGTGTGCGTGTGTGTGTACGTGCGTGTGTGCGTGTGTGTGTGTGTTGCTGTACGTGCGGTGTTGTGTGTAGTCTGCTTACGTGGTGTGTACGTGCGTGTGTGCGTGTGTGTGTGGGTGTGTGTGTACGTGCTGTGTGCGTGTGTGTATATGGCTGTGTTACGTGTCGCGCGCAGTGTGTGTGTAAGTGCGTGTATGACCCGTGTGTGACTGTGAACGTGCGTGCCGTGTGTGCGTGTGTGTGCTGTGCTGTTGGTTGTGGTGTGGTGTTCTGTGTGTGTCGCTTGTGTATATGTGTATTATGTGTGGTGTTGTGTGTGCGTGTTGATGTGTGTGTGTGTGTGCGGTGTGTGTGTGGCGCGCGCGTGGTGAACTTGTGTGTGAATGTCTGTGTTTACGTGTGCGCGCGTCGTGTGTGTGACGTGCCGTGTGTTGGCGTGTGCGTGATGTGTGCGGTTGGTTGTGTGTACGTGCGTGTGTGTGTGTGTGTGATATGTTGTGTTTACTGTGTGCGCGGTGTGTGTACGTGCGTGTGTGTGATGCGTGTGTTATGTCTGTGTTTACTGTGGCGCGGCGTGTGTTGTACGTGCGTGTGTGTGTGAGCGTATGTTTGTTCAGAGTTTTGGAAAAAGGCCCTTAAGCCTGTTACAAATATTATTAAGGCCTACAAGACGCATGTGTTTGTAAGTTATTCAGGCGTGTCACGCGTGAATTGTCGAGACTAGATCGGAGAATGAAAAACTACGGCCGCATGGAATTGCAGCACCGACAATACTTCGACTCTTCAAATCTTTAATATAATTAAAAGAAACTTCACCCGTTGATAGCGATTGCCGTTTGAAAATGAAAAGGTTGTAGATGTTCAAGTTAAAATTTAGTAACGTAATAAGATGTTGAAGTTTTGATCAATGTAACATCGTCACTGCCACTTACAGTCCGCTTTTCTCTTATAATACCGGCTGTCGAGTGCCTTGCCACTCGGAGTTACATGAAATGCTTTCGTGCTGTCAATTTAAACAGTCGCGGAGCGGTGACGCCGGGGCCACCCGATTCCTCAACAGCAGTTTCATTGTTATGCGCGTCAGTAAAGTTCGAAGACTACCCTAACCGACGCCTTGCCTGGACGTGCGTGTGGCGATGAATCGTTCAGTAAACTAACAATACTTTGATTTGTCTTCATTAGTTTACATACACTGGTTTGGAGACAACAACATATGAGACCTTGGCTAGACGCGTGCTGACATATTGTAGTAAAATTGATTAAGACATTATATACTTTCATCGTAGTTTTAAATGCGGTGCGCTTGAAGACCACGATAGCCAACGTCGTGGGTGGACCACAGGCTGGACAGAATCGTAGCAAATTGGTAAACAACTAATCGCGTCAACGCCAGCGTCAACGCCAGCGTCAACGCCAAGCTGTCAACGCCAAGCGTCACACACGCCAGCGTTCAACGCCAACAGCGTCAACAGCACGAGGTATGTCACCAAAGCACTTAATCAGTACTTACATATAAATCGGATAGACTTGCTCTGATATAACCCTTGTATCGGAATCTTACAAAAATTGAAGTGTTTGTGGTGTTTTCTAGTCCACTTTTTATAGTTAAGATTGTTCACCTATTCTATCAACTTGTACAAAAATGTTAATACAAAACAAGGCAACAGATGAGCTAAATAGTTTACTATTGTACATTTTCAGCAGATGTCGCATGATACTCATTTTAATTAATTTAATCCATTGCCCATCCATGGCATGTCTCCATTGGACTGTGATGACTACAGTTCAACGTAGAACTTATACTGTGAAAATGCCGTTAGAATAAACTTACAAACTAAAAGACGTACTTACACATTACGAAATACATTACTATACACTTAATACTACACTTATATATTACGCACATATGCACTTAATATTTACAACATTGCAACGCGACATATTCTTTATACACTCATATCTAACACAACAGCGGATAATTAAAATAATGCTGTTTCTGGCGAGATATAGGCTGAGTCATACGCTTGCCAATGTGAAACATTAATTATGGCAGGAATACGATATAGCAGCTGGTGTTTTGCTGATATCGGACGTCATGCATCGAATAATAGAGAGTGTTGGGATATGTGATTGGTGGGCAGATTCATTTGTGATACGGTGAATAGATCATTCGATGGATAGTAGACCGTTGCGATGAGGTGGTTCCCATTTTGATGGTCGGATGTCATTTTCGTGTCTTCTTTTGCTTCTGTTAGCGAGTTTCTTGGACGGTCATCGTGTACGCGAAAGCTAAACCTGTACACACTGTTATGTACGTAGTGTGTATGTATGAAAAATATATATTATATAGTATATATATATACCAATTTTTTTAGTAATACAGGTAACATATAGTAGGTATATCGACAGCCCGTCAATCAACTCATATATACACACACACACGTCGCGATGACGCACGCGCATACACAGCACAGAGTCACGCACGTTATAAAACTACGCACATACACACACGTACGCACTCACACGCAAGAACACACACACACCGCAGCACACACATAACACGCACGCACGCAATGCACATACGCGCACACGCACGTACGTACACACACACGCGCACGCCACGAACGCAGCAGACAACACACACACACCACACACATCACACACAATGCATATATATATAATATATATATATATATATATATATATTTATTATTATATATATGATAATAGCTATATAGTGCTTCAGTGCAGTGGTGCTGTTCGGTCACGCATCATGTTTTCTCTCTCACCAGTTTCGGGTTGTTCGCTTCCACAAGGTCGTACGCCATCTGTGAGAACAACTCCGTCACGTTCGTATTCTCCTTGGCGCTTGTCTCGAAATACTTCGATGAATGGTACTTGGCCAACTAACGACAAACGACAACGTCAGCTACATAGGGGGGGGGCACACTGAGAAGGGAAGGGCGGTGATATTGGGGACGCTGGATTGCTGGGAACCGGGAAATACCAGAAAAATGTTTAAAATTGTGGTTTACTTGGAACATAGAAATGGTACTTTTATCTGCTGGGATACTGCGAATGGACACCCCTCCCCCCTCCCGCGCGCCATTCTCCTTATCGCGCTGAGAAATTTCCTATATAGTCCTATATATGCCTGTATTCATCGCTGGTTCCCGTAGGGACTATGGGAATGAACTATTGTCGGTGGTAGATCCGCTTGTACTTTTACACCTTGTCAAGCAATATAGATTAAAGTGGTTTCTATCATTGGCTTTTCTCGAATCTCTGGACGGTTGTATTAGAACAGGTTTCGCTGTAAAATGGCGGTAGTATACATACAGGTGTTAATGATTGCTCAATTTCCTCACACTCTCCCGGTAAAGCTGTAATAACTCACCTTCTCCGCCGCTGCCAGCTTTATCTTGCGCTGCCACCAGAGGTCGCATTTATTGCCGACGATGATCACCTCCTCGCTGTCGATGTCGGCCTCCGCCAGGGTGCGCATCCAGTAGTTGATTGAGTCAAACGTGTTCTTATCGGTGATGTCGAAGACAAGAAGGAGACCCTTCGTTCCGCGATACATGAACTTGTTAATGTCACGGAATCGTTCCTGACCGGCCGTGTCCCTGCAGTGCATGCAAACAGGCAAATAAACACGCAGAAAAAAAAACCTGACACCTACACAAACAAACAGACAACAAACAAATAAACAAACCTAATTGCAAAAATATAAACAAACGAACAGACAAAGCAGCACACAACTAAACAAACCAACAAACATATAGACAGACAAATGAATCAATAAACAAACTGCGGGTAAACAAACAAACAGACAAACACTTAACATGATTGATTCTGCAACCCCCTCCGGCAATCAACACAACCGTACATGATTTGAATGTTTTGGCCTTGCAGGCGGCAGCACCTACCAGATCTGCAGACGCACTCTGTGTCCGTCGACGTCGTAGTCCTGGTTAACGAAGTCGACGCCGACGGTCGGCATCAGGTTTCTCGTGTACGTCTCGTGTCGCATCGAGTTGATGAGCGACGTCTTGCCGACGTACGACTCACCGATGACGAGCACCTTGTAGATGACGTCATAGTCGGATTCCATCGGATTCTTGTTGAATTCGCATCGGATCGGCTTCGCGCACTGTTTCAAAGCGGAATTATGTTCAAAGCCATTTATTCTTTATTTGTTGCTGTCTTTCCACGTGTCTATTGCATCCCCTGTCTCATTCTCTATCTCCCCTCCCTTTCTCTTTCTATCTCTTTCTCCCATACTATATCTCTTCCTCTCTCGCCCTTCTCTCGCTATCTCTCTCTCTCTCGATCTATCTGTCTATCTATCTATCTCTCTATCTCTCTATCGCGCTCTCTCCCTCTCCCCGTCGGTGCGTGCGTGCGTGCGTGCGTGCGTGTGTGCGTAATCTCTCTATCCGCTCGTCGTAATCAATTCGAGTTTATTACCCAATATTTGTTTACAGACACAGCAGTTGTTTACACAAAGCGCAACATCAGCTATATTATAAATCAGTCGTCCGCGCAGCAATCAGCGAACCAGCGTTCATCCTGCATCTGCTAGGCAGCTGTAGCTGAAGCCACACGAGCTGTGGAGGCCCGCATCCCCGATGGCAGGTAAACTCGTGTTGGTCGAAATGCTCCTCGAGCCTTCGCTACATCCCGACCATAGATGTATACCACATGTGCAAATGTCAGATATATATATATAGAGAGAGAGATTTGTGGTCAAAAGTAGCACGGCAGCGTTCAGCCACATTGAGAAGTCTCATGCGAGCTTTAAACACAACTGTAACGTATTCACGGATTTATCTGGGCCAGCGAATCATTACATCGTAGCTGAACGTATGTGTGCGTGCGTGCGTGCGTGCGTGCGTGTGTGTGTGCGTGCGTGCGTGCGTGTGTGCGTGCGTGTGTGCAACAGTATTATATAGTGAATATACGTACCGATACATGCGGTTTCTCTTTCGCCGTGCTCTTCTCGGTTTCTTCCGGCGCAGCATGGTCGGTTTCGCTGTTCTTCTTTCCCCTGCGTTTCCGGAATAGTTCCATGAATATATTTCTAGATTTCTTCTGGTTCTTTGGCTGAGGTGTTGTTTGGTCGGCGAGCGCCGAAACCTTCCACTCTTTGCGCGCGAACTGAAATTCAGAGTAGGTTGCGTATAGAAATTACAGTGAAACGGTGTGTATGTGTGCGCGCGCGCGTGTGTGTGTGCGTGCGTGCGGGCGTGTGCGTGTGCGTGTGTGTGTGTATATATATGTGCGTGTGTGTATGTGTGTGTGTGTGTGTGTGTGTGTGTGTGTGTGTGTGTGTGTGT